TGTTATTGGAGTACGGGAGGTTAGATATCCTCAAGGCTTACTTTCGTTACTTGGCACGGTTAACAACCGTCAAGTTTGGAAACCACCCCGTCTCGGAGATCGCGGCGAGTTTTGTCGAGATGTTTGAGGAAGGGTCGGAGAATGAGGAGAGGCTGATGGGGTACATTCAGCTTTTGTCACAAGCCAACGCGGATGTCATTGAGGATATTCCTGGTGTGCTGGGTAGGACGAGAGAGTGGGCGAGAAATCAGAGTTTGGCTTGCCAGCAGAGGGAAGATAGGAGTCGCAGTGGGAGTCCAAATTCTTCGGCTGCTTCGTCGAAGGGGTCACCTCCTGATATGAACATGGCGGTGGCGCCTTCTGTGAGGGATAGAGACAAGAGGCGGCATCACATGCTTCGAGTCGAGGCCCAGAGTGTGTATTGGGCGCAAAAGCTGGTTATGTCGGGTGATCCGGAAAGTGAAGCGCTGGCTGAGCAGTGGTTGGCGAAGGAATTCGGGCATGATTTCAAGCCCCGGGTGATGGCATTGCTGGAGAGGCTAAAGATGATGAGGGATATCGGGGTATTCCCGGAGGTGTTTGCCAAGATGATGGAATGTCTGTTTATTGGGTGGCTGTTTGATTATTGCGAGTTTGTGGAAGAGTGGGAAGAGGCGTTTGAATGGGGGAGACAGGGGCTGGCACTGTCGGCGAATGAGCAGTATGTGATTTGGAGTATTCACTTGGAGGGGGTGATGAGAGAGCACGGCAGTGTGTTGGAAGCGGATGCACTGAAGAAAAAGAGACAGGGGATGGACTGGATGGAACAGGTGAGGACGCAGGTGGACAAGTTGACTTTGTAAGGTTTATTTTGTGTGTAATTTTAAAAGGTAAGAAGGGAGTTTTTAGTTTGAAGAAGGGTTTGATACCTTTGAAGATGGGTATGTTGATTGGTTACAAAACGGGATGGGGGAGATGGGTTTGCATTGGGAGATAATACCTTGGCTGTTTGCTCTGGTGTTCTAGGTGATATGAAGATGTTTCTCGTCTCTGTACAATTTGGTTATGCACTCTTTTCAGTTTGATTGCATGCATTGCCCCTTGTCAATCCAGAGAACACGGAGCTCAACATACCCGCGCTGATATCCCCAGTCACCTCATCTAGTGACTCGCAATGGGAAGCGTCACTAGGTCGGTGTACGGGCAATATCAGACGGGTCACTCTTCCGTTATTTGGACTTGCTCAGCTGAATTCTACGCCGACCAAATGACCAAGCAGCGCCCCTCGTCGATGATGATGATGATGATGATGATGATGCAGCCGCCGACAGGTTCGATCATCGGTCACACGATGAGTCTTGTCATGCCCAGAGATAGGTAGTCATTTGGTTGGAAAGTAAAGGAGCTGCTCCCAACTTTTAGATATTCAAACTCTCTGTCCTCTCTTCCCTCCAGAAGATTTTCTTTTCCTAAACTCGCCTCCAAACTGGGCTTTCGACCTCACCAGAGCCCAGAACAACCACCTTCAACGGCCTTCACACGATGATACTACGTACCGTAAGCAAAACGCAAAAACTTCCTGTCGTCCTTTTCAATCGACCTTTCCCCCCCCCCTTTGATCATATATTTCTACCCTTTTCTTACCCATATCTACCACCCTTCACTGATATCTAACGTGCGTGATAAGCGAGTGACACAGATAAGCGAGTGACACAGATAAGCGAGTGACACACTCACCCCCACAACATAACACCTCCACCTTCAACATCACTTTCTTCTACAACACAATATGACCTCACCATCAAAAGAAGGCAGGCTTATCATGGCCCTTCAAGCTCTCGAAAAAGATAAAGATCTAAGTTTACGAGCTGCAGCTAACGTCTATAATGTTGCTTTCAAAACCCTTGCACGCCGACGCGCCGGTATACCTGCACGACGCGATATTCTAGCCAATTCGCGTAAGTTTACGGATCTAGAGGAAAAAAAGGATTGTTTAATATATAATTGAGCTATCTACACGCGCATTTCATCTTCGGCTTTCGTATGTGGAAGATATGGCTAATCGATTGTTACGCGAACGCGACGCGCCTCCTGTTGGCGTACGATGGGCTTATAACTTCGTTAAACGTGAGCTAAAACTTCGGACGCGTTTTACGCGTAAATATAACTACTAGAGGGCCAAATGCGAGGATCCAAAGGTTATTGGCGAGTGATTTACCCTTGTACGGAATACTAAGGCTAAGTACGGTATTGTGGATAACGATATTTGATAACGATATTTATAACTTCGACGAGACTGGGTTTATGATAGGTATTATCGTTATTATTATAGTCGTTATAACTTCTAATAGCCGTAGTAAGGCCAAACAGGTCCAGCCTAGTAATCGTAAGTGGGCTACGGTTATTTAGGGCGTAAATATTTTAGGTTAGGCTATTGGTTTGGGGTACGGCCACAGGCCTGAGAGTATGAGTAAAGAAGCGGGGCGCTCAGAGGACTCAGGGGTTCAGGGGGGCCATGTATATAAGTGGTCTGCTTCGGACATTCTATTTTAGACAGGACATCGACTTTTATTTTTCTTCGTATTTTGTGCCTTGCACGCGTGCAGGCAATTCTGGCCCTCTGATCAGGCCAATCCGGTGCTTATTATGTGGCCTGCGAGCCCATAGTGTCTTTTCTTTGTCCTACGTGAAGTGCGGCCTGCGAGCGAGTCACTGTCACGCAGGTGTGTTCATTCTGAGACCTGTTGAGGGTATATTTGTGGTGTTGTGATTGTTTTGTGTGTTTTCTCACCATTTCACTATCCTACTATTCATTATCTTAGCTAAGTAATATTACTTTACTAATTAATATTAAGAGTGTAGCCTTCCGGCCACCTAGCGCATCACAATAACCGATAATAGCTAAACTACTAATAAGAAAGGTATAAATTAGATTCGTTACTTCGATTTCCATATAATATTTCGTACGAAGGGCAAATATCGGCTATTAATCCTTAACGGCTACGAGAGCCACCACTCTAAAAAAATTTAAAACCTACTACCGGGAATATAATATTATTATACTATATATATCTCCGCACTTCTTCTATATACTTTAGCCATTAAATATTAACTATTTTACACTATTAAAGAAGGCGTATAGCCGCTAAATTATACAGTCAATGCGGATAAACATTATATATATCAGTAAGTTAAAGTTTCTTTATACGTTTAAAGAAGCATTTTTTACTTCGGTTATAGAAAAAAATATCCAAGGTAGTTTTACTAGCGCCGGCCTTATACCGTACGATTCAAAGAGGGTAATATCTAAGCTAGATATACGCATTCGGACTCTAACACCTCCAGCCTTGAGCCTAACCACGGCACTACCTTGGGTCTCTTAAACGCCACATAACCCTCGGGAGGCTACCTCACAGTTAGCGCTTATTAAAACTCGAATTTCTAACTATTAGGGCAGCTCTCTAACCTCAATGCTAGCCGCTATGGACTAATTTACTAAGGGAGTAATAAGTATAATACACGAGGTAGCTCTTCTCCATACAGAGGTCTCTTCGCTACGCAAGGCCAATAAGGAGCTTAGTAAGAAACGGAGAGCCAAAAAAACACGTATGCGGCTTAGAGGGTCACTTACTGTACAAGAGGCACAGGATTTACTGGATCAGAAGGCTGTGGGTGAGCAGGTAGCCCAGGAAATACGACAAAGTGGTGCTGGTGCAGGGGGGTCTCGTACGAAGATTCGGTGCTGTGGTGTGTGCGGCAAGCCTGGCCATAATGCACGTACGTGTAAAGAGGCTGCAGAATCGTCTGATTCATCTATTTCTAGTTCAGTTATCGTTGTTTCCTAGTGTTGTGGTTGTATAATTGAGGATAGTTATAGTGGGGTGGTGGAAAGTGTGTCGTTCGCTTGTCTGTGTCACTCGCTTATCACGCACGTTATTGTCTTTTGCCCTTTTGACCTGCACCAATTCAACTTTGAACTCATTTTCTACACCACCACAGTCTCTATATACCAAGGACGAGACACCGTTGGGAAAGGAGTTGCCCAGGGATATGTGGTACGTTTTTACGCCTAGATGTAACAGAAACGAGGGGTTGGGTATGGAGGCTGATGGGTATTTTTCAGGGTTGAATTCGGTTTTCAGGTTGTTTCGGTTCGGTACCAGTATTTGAGGAAGACGGCGAGGGAGGAGATGGAGGGTATGTGCATTAATTTTGCTGACGTTGGGATTCATGGGGATGATGTTGGGGTATGCAGAGGGCTGATGTTTTTTGTTTTGATAGCGGAGGCTGAGCAGGTGTCTGACCTTGCTGAGGCGGCTGACCGGCTGTGTTGCTGCTGCCAACAAGCATGGTGATGAGTGGGATTGGCTGTCGCTGGAGGTGTTGGTTCCGCCGGAGTTGATGGGCGAGTTGCTTACTAGCTATATAGTGCCCTGGATTGGGAGTGAGGATAGCTTCTTGGGATGGGGGACTACTGCATACATGGCGTAGCATACCGGGAACGCATGGGTCTGTTAAAGACAGTGGGCGGCATGGCGGGCATGGCAGGCATGGCGTTACGGTTTCTTTCGGCTGTTTGAGGTCTGAGGCGTCAGGGAAATATTTCGAGGCGGCTATCAGCATGGAATCAGGCGCTATGAGCATTTTCGGAGGCGTTTAAAACATTCTCTTAGGTGTCTAAAATCTGGAGGCAGGCGCTGTCAACACAGTGCAATGTGTGTTTCTGGCAATACTGTAGGGTGTTTTGAGTTCTTAACTATATGTCATCAATATGGTTGTATGTGTTTCCACTATCGTGACAAATGTCGACAAAACAAAAGGGTCATCTTTAACACGTGAGAGAGCTATGGCTGTGCCACCCGAATGCAACACCGTTACAGCCAGCACCCAACACTGTACCATCTGCACCTGCGCCTCCTTATGCCTAGACCCTTTATACATATCCCGCCCAGTCTTCCCCTAACCTCACCTCACCTCCCTCATCTTTACTCCCCTTCCCCCCCCCCCCCCCAAAAAAAAAAATGAAGCTCATCATCGCCGGCTCAACCGGCTTCCTAGCCACAGAACTAACCCGCCAATCCCTCTCCAACCCCCTCATCACCTCCCTCATCACCCTCGGCCGGAAACCCTGCCCCCCGCCCGACCCATCCACCCTCCTCCCAAACGCCGACCTCTCCAAACTCAAATCTGTCATCCTCGAGGATTTCGACAGAGATGACTACCCCGACAACATCAAATCCGACCTCTCCAACGCAAACGCCTGCATCTGGACCATAGCCATCACCCCCGCCCAGCTCAAGACCGTGCCCTGGGAGACAACGGTCAAGGTCTGCCGTGACTACGCCGTGACTGGGATCAAGGTGATCTCCTCCTTGACGGATAAAAGGCTGTTTAGATTTGTCTATGTCAGTGGTGCCAACGCTGTGCGGGATCCGGCAAAGAAGCCGTTGTTGTTGGGCGATTATTGCGTTCTCCGCGGCGAGGCGGAAAACAAGATCTTGGAGTTTGGGAAAACATCTGGGGGAAGGGTGGAGGTGGCGATTGCGAA